CACAGATGGGGACCTGCTATGGCCAGGAGGCACTGCAGCACCTTCGGCCAGCCTGGAAAGGCAGCTGCTCATGGTTACAAATCTCCCTATGGACCAGCAGCCACATCCCACAAAGCACACCAAGTGGCAGCTCAAAAATGCCACCGTCTATTTTCCTTTTTATGCTGATAGACTGAACTTTGCGGGAGTCCAACAGCCATCAGACAACCCCAGAGGAAGAGAGAGCTGTCCAGGCAGTCTCTAGATGCAAGTGAAGGCTCAAACATTCCCATTTGACTGTGCTGACCCCAGAAATATGATTCTAAGACAGGTTCAACATAGTGTTAGTCTCAATTTATATGAGGAAGATGAGGCACAGAGGGACTAAGCAATTGGCTCAAGCTCGCACAACCAGTGAAGAACAGAGTGGGAATGTAAGACCTACGCCATGAGGTTCCACAGAACTGGCTCCCCACAGATCTGCAAGGAAAGCAGCAAAGGACTCACCGCGCATCCAGGCAGCCTGCATTTTCTTCAAAGTTTTACCGCTGGGAAGCTGGGTCTGGCAGTCCCAAGAGAGAAGTGGACTTTTCCCATTCCCCATGACATTAGGAGGGCACTGAAGACCTTCGTCCTGTCATAGCATGCTAACATGCCAAGGCCTCAGGTAAAGTGGCCTGCACCAAGGTTTTCAGGCTCAAGCTGAAACTCCCCTGCTCCCACACACTCAGCTGACCACAGAAACCACAATTCCACCTCAACCAGGCCAATTCCACCTGATCCAAGTGGACCCTACCTCAACCAGATAGAAGTCACCTCAGTCAGGCTGCCACAGAACATAGCAGCCAAATGTCATCAGAGCATCGAGGAGAACTCAGGAAAACCACTGACCTCTACACCTTCCCACCATGGGCTTTAAAACCCACCCCTTCCCACAAAGCACTCAGCTTACCCTTAGTTCAACAGAGTCCGAAGACCTGTCAAAGCTACATGCCCTACAAAACAGCTCAGCAGTCTTTGTTCCTTGTGCCCTTCTCCTCAGTAGATCAAAACTATTAAAATAAGCTACGAAGGGAGTAAGGGAATCCTAACATCCAGGCCACTCCTCTCAGGACAAGCTAAGTTTGGGCAGCCATGAGTCCATAACTACCCAGACTGACATCCCCTTCCTGAGTGTTACCCGCGGTTCATGCAGATAAGCACATGACGGTCCAGCGGGGACTGAAAGAGCACAGTCCAGCCCAAACCCTAAACTACAGACTCACAGAGTCAATGGAGCAGCAACACTGATGGCTGAGCTGGGGTCACCCAGAGGCTGGGAGAACCCCCAAAACAGGAAAGAGTCCACTAGTCCCTCGTCACGTAAGCACTCAGGAGCTGGCCAAAGTATAGGAACCCAAGCTGATGCCACCGCCGCTTGAGTGGTGCTGGAGACACAAATCACTTGAGAAGAAATGTCTCTTCACTGAGTAAAAATGAGGCATCAGACCATTGCCAGGGTGGCTATCAAGGGAAGGGCAGCTACAAACCACGGCGGAAATGACCCAAGCACATGACCATGGCTCAGCGCACTGTCCTGTCTTCTAACCCATAGTGCTGGCACGGGCATCTGAGCCATCTCCTCTGAGCCCAAAGACCCCACACCAGAACCACCGAACTTGTAAACAGAGAAGACGGGAGTCTACTTACTCCATTCAGCAGTGGCTGGGACAAAAGGACCATGACAGTTCCCTAAACCTAGACAGAAAGACCACAAACACACATGACCCAAAGCAGACAAACACAAACAGACACACCCAACTCAGACAAGATTCCTTGCCTGCTCCCAAGATAAGAGGTGTGAATGCTTCCCAGCGGCAAAGCCTCACTAGTCCCACATCTCTATAGTGGTCCCAGCAAGTCCACCAGTCTCCATACACATGAGTACCTCAGGCTACATTAGCTGACAAGGGTGCAGACAGCCCAGATAGGCCTCCACTGGTAGGACCCACATCAGCCTGCCTACTACTTACTGCAAGTCCATTTGAAAAGTCCTGCCTGCCTGCAACCTCCCGCAACGACGCACTGCCCTGCTGGGGCAGAAGTGCTATAGGACACACAGCACACGCACACTCTCTTGCAGCCCCTAAAGAATGAGGCAACGGTCCTTCTTCAGGGCCCCTTCCCCCCACAATTCTGACACTCTGCTGGAGGGGCGCCCAGAGAAAACCGGGCTGCAGCATCTATTCACAGATTTAGAAAAAAAAAAAAGTTTGATGCAATAGCTGAATTAATTAGGTCTCCCAAGAATAGCTGAGCCAATGCAGCATTCTGTGTGTGCAATTTAATAAGCACGGATATTTAAAAGTTGCAGATACTTAGGGTGCAGATGCAAAGAAACTTCCTCTGGACCCCAGTGAAAGGTTTTGGTACTAAGTGGCCCAGGAAATGCCCAAGAGGATCCCACAAGGCCTGTGACGAACACACAACACAGCCTGGGCTGACAGGCCTCCACACCAAGTGCAAGAGCAACAGAAGGAAATGAGCGAGTCTAAACAAACTGCAGACCATCAGCAACTCTGAGAGGCAGGACTCTGCCACCACTGACCAGGCCAAGTGGCCCTCAAGGTGCAAAAACAGGAGATTCTAGGGGCTGCAAGTACCAAGTCTCTGCCAGACAACTGGCTAGCTTCGTTTTAGTGTCTGTACCCCATGATTTAAAGACAAAACAAGAGAGCCAGTCAACATACAAGGCCAATCAGCTGGGAACCACAAGAAGACATCCCTGCCATCAAAAAGAAAGGGGGCAAACTTCATTGTCATCTGGACACCTCTGCCAAGATCCCATGGAGATCTGGGTCAGAAAGTCACAGCCTGGGTTCTTTATCTTCAGGCAGTCTAAGCTCCCAGAGCTTGAGGTAGCCTCTTTCTCAGACCTTTAGAGCCTATGTGGTCCAGGGCTATGGGCCCTGAGAGCTTTTTTCCATTCACTCTACTTCATGAGTACAGTGCTCAGACAGCACGAAGGCGGCCTTACGGCCTTACCCACAGGAGACTGACAAGGCCCTTAATTTCCTGAAATCAAAACAATCCAAGGCCAGATAAAGCCGAGCCAGGAGCCCCAACATTTAGAACCCAGAGTACCCAGCCCAGGAGGACCGCCCCCTCCCCTCCTTGGACATGGCCTGCCAACCCCCAAGACTGGGGACACTTACCCGGGGCACCCTCCGCTTGTACTTGTTGGCATAGTCGAACTTCTCCTTCACGTCGTCCAGGCAGCGGCCAAGGCGGGTCTGCTCCTCCTTGCCTGTGTAGTCCTGGCTCAGCAGGATGTAGGCCCGCCAGTTGGCTGAGTCGAAGCCCCAGTGGCAGGTCCGGTTCTCCAGGGCCTTGTGCGAGTGTACCACGAACTTGTGCGGCGGGTACATGAGGCGGCAGTCGAGGCACTGGATGCAGGCGGCGCTAGGACTGCTGTACAGCTCGGGCACCAGCAGCCCCTTGCACTTGCCGAAGCACTCGTGGTACACGCGGACGCTGCGCTCGCTGAGCTCCAGGCCCAGCGCCAGGCTGGCCGCCAGCTCCTTCTTGCAAGGCGGCGGGTAGGCGCCGCCGTAGAGCAGCGCGTTGCACAGGCGCTCGGCGTCCGTCTTGGTGATGAGCCCGCACGAGGGCGCGGAGAAGGGCAGGATGCCCATGACTTTGAGGATCTCCAGCTGGTCGGCGGTGCAGCGCGAGCAGTAGATGTGCAGCTCATCGCACACTGAGTTGATCTGCTGCAGTGAGAAGTCGCGCAGCACCGAGTTGAGGATCTGCGGCAGGCACAGACGCTTCTCGCCTCCCACTACGAAACAAGAGATGGTCTCCCCTTCCAGCACGGTCTCACAGCGTTCGGTGGAGCGATCCGACGGCATGAAGAAGGGCCCGGGCAGCACGGGCGGCGGCGGCTGGATGGCAGGCAGGTGCAGCACGGGCGGCGGCTCCGCGGCAGTGGGCACCGGCGCCGGCACTGTGGCCGCGCCCGCCTCCTTGGCGCTCTCCTTCTTGTAGGCCTCCTGCGCCCAGCGCGCCGAGAAAGCGGCTGGGCCGCCCAGCGAGCTCATGGAGCTCAGGTGGAACTGCTCCAACGTCTTCTGCAGCCCCGGGTGCGGCTGGAAGCCGCCCCGGCCGGCCGCCGCCGCTTCCATGGTGCGATCGGGCTCCCCGGGCCGCTCCCGTGCGCCCGGGCCCCCACGGCCTCCGCCGCCGCCCCGCGCACCCCGCCGCCGACCGCGACCGCGGCCCCGACCGCCCCCCGTCGCCGGTTCACGGCCGATCACGGCCCCGGCCTCGGCCTCGCCCGGGGGCGCGAAGGCGAAGGCGGGCGGGGCGAAGGGGTCCCGCCGCTGGAGCCCGCCGCCACCCGGGCCCGGCGCCACATCCACGCGCCCCGCGCCGCGCCCGCCGCCGCCGCCCGGGCCCCCCGCGCGCCCCCCGCGCGCCCCCCGGGCTCTAGGCGCGGGGCATGCCCCGGCGCGCGCCGCCAACGCCAACGCCAACGCTCGCGGGCCCGGGGCTCGCGGGGGGCGCGCGGGCAGGTGCCGGCGCCGCGAGGCGCGAATCGCCGCGGCGGCCGAGGCCGAGGGGCCCGGGAGGAGCGGGGGCGCGGGCGCGGGGCCCGCCGGGCCGTCCTCGCGCGGCGCGCCGCCGCTGCCCCGCTCCTCCCACCGCGCGGCGCCCGCTCGGCTCGTCCCGGCGGTGCTGGCCGGCCGCGTCGCGCCCGCCGCCGGCCCCTGGCCGCCTGCCCGCCCGCGCGGCCGTCCGCCGGCTCCCGGCCGCCCGCTGGCCCGCGCGCGCGGCTCCCGGGGCGGCGGAGGCGCCTCTGGCCCGCGGCCTCAGAGCGCGGCGGCGGCGCGGGGCTCGGCGCGCTCGGCGCACATCTTTCGGGCGGCTCGCTCCGGCTCGGACTGAGCGCCGGGAGCTGAGCTCACGCCGCCGCGCGCCGCCCCGCCCCGTACCGCCCCGCCCCGCCCGCGCCGGCCCCGCCTCCCGCGTTGTTTGTTGCTGTGCGTCCGCCTCAGCCGGAGTGCGGGCCAGGAATGTGACCAGCTTCGGGCTGGCTCTTCCAAGAACGCGCGCTCCCCCTCCCGGGCTCGGTGGCACTCGGCTACGCCCGACCGGTACTCGGCCAAGATCGGCTTCCTCCGCCCACAGCTCGACTCCGCTCGCGTCCCCCGGGCCGGAGCTCGGCTCCGCTCGGCCCCGCTCGGCCCCGCTCGGCCCCGCTCGGCCCCGCTCGGCTCTACTCGGTCCCTCTCGGCTCCGCCTTGTGAAGGCCGCTGGAGGCGGCCGCAGCGGAGGCGCCTGGGGCCCCCCTTCCGGCCGAGGCCGTTTCCTGCGCGGCTGGGAAGTCTCCGGTCCTGCCGCCACCACGGTCTTGGGGCCCCCTGAAACCCACAAGGCCCCTACCACAACCGCAGGCCAGCTGAGTGGCGGTCCGCAGTAGATCTGCGCCGCTAACGCCTTACGTCCCGGGGTCCCCATTCTACGGAGATACTACTGGGCGTCGTTCTCCACAGGACCGGGACGCCACGAGACACCCCAGAGGTGCACTCATAAAAAAGGACAACACGAAACAGACCCCGGGTGCCCTCATGATAGGGATGCCACAAAACATTGGGGTCTAGATACAAGAGCGTCTCAAAGCTCCCTAGGGCACCACAACACACATTTCAGGCCCCTGCGTAAGGACACCACGAAATACTCAGGACAGGCTGTCCTTATGATGAGAAGATACGAAAAAAAAAAAAATCCAGGTGCCCACACAACCTGAGCCTTGCAAAGAACCACCCAAGATCTCCGGTGCAGAGGGACTGCCAAAAGCACATCTGGGTTTCCATGTGTAGTACTGATGCCACCTAATACACAGAGCTCCACAACCAAGCGCCACACACAGCTAGAATTGCAGAACCTAGAAGCTCACATCACTGCATGACCTACGGATGCCAACATGCAGAGGAGGCACACCTATGGACAGACAACATCGACCACCCCGAGAACGGTGACAACCACCGGCAGTAGCTCCCGTCTACCTGGGCCCTGTTCTGTGAGGTGGGGACTTTGGGACATAATTCTGCATTGAAGAAGCTGTGTCTAACAGCTGTTGCCCCTTCTTGAACCACCCATTAGCCAGTAGCTTGGGCAACAGATTCTTGTGACTCTCATGCTGGAAGCTGCTGTGACCCTTACCCCTCCTCCAGCCTCCAGGACCAAGGAGCAAATATCCATCTGTACATACATCATCAGGTACCCAGATCATGGCCAAAGTATGATACCACGGCCTGCCCTTCAATGTCCTGGCTGCACAATGGGATCAACGTAAGACAGTCTTTTGCCGAGCGAGCGAGCGACACTCAAAGTAGCTAACATAGAGCAGAAGCCCAGGCACAGAACCTGAAGGACAGTGTCCGCCAAGAAGTTGGAAATCAGCCAGGCAGGCATTGGTGGCGCACGCCTTTAATCCCAGCACTCAGGAAGCAGAGGCAGGCGGATCTCTGTGAGTTCAAGACCAGCCTGGACTACAGAGCGAGTTCCAGGAAGCCTCCAAAACAATACAGAGAAACCCTGTCTCGAAGAACAAAAAATAAAATAAAATAAAAGAAGTGGGAAATCCCACCCCCAAAGACCCGGACCTCAAACTTTCCTGGGCACAGGCCTTTCCTGGTTGGTGAAAGAGAGAAGGCTATGCACAGGCAGCCTGGGTTACCTTTGGCTTGTGACCTGTTTCTCACCTCCTGGGTAAGACCAGAACAGGCACAAACCAGCACTCCTAGACGCAGCTCCTACCCTGGGGCTGGCCAGGCATCTCTGTGTAAGCATCAGCCGCCCCTGTCTTCAAGGCAGGGCTTTGGTATTCAAAGTGCAGGGTCCCCTGTCTGAAAACTGGATAGGCCCCCAGTGTGGACACACAAGTCCACCCCTGAGTCCCCCATGCTTGCCCACAGTGCCCAGGGGATCAGCCTTCCTTGTTAACACAATTTTTAGGCTCAAAGTTCACTCTTCTGACTTCATTCGTAGTGCAGAGTTCCCACTTTTAGTTATCTCTTCTGTCAACACATAAGACAGCTGGTAAGGGCTTGGCAAGATGGCTCAGCAGGTCACCGGTTGTCCCCCAGAGCTGACAGCCTGAGAGGCAGAAAGAGGAAAATGGCTGCTATAACTTACCTGCTGACTTCCATACATGCACTGTGGCACAAACCTCCCTGCTACTCAAAAAATGGTTGTTGGTTGTTTTTTTTTTTTTCAGTGTAGTAAAATAGGTGGTGGTGTTGTTTGTTTTTTTAAGACAGCTGATTATTCCTTACGGGAAATTTTTAAGAAACAAAAGATATTTATTAGTTGCATCCCTGTAGATAGCTTTGTCTACCCATATGTAGACCCCATACAAATAAATGTTGCCTTTGAGGGAGTATCTTCCTTGCACGGGATTGTATTCCATACAATTCAGGCAAACTGTATCCAAAGAAGATGGCTTAGACAGCCCTCGAATGAGTTGTGCCTGGTGAAACGGGGCCTTTAATCCTAGCACTTGGGAGACAGAGGCAGGCAGATCTCTGCCAGTTCCAGATTAGCCTGGTCTACATAATGACCAGGGGGGAGGGAAAAAAGGCAAGGAAATTATGCTGTTTATCTTTGTGGGGCCCTGGACTCCAATCTCAGTGATCAGTGCTCAAAGACGCTACACACATTGTATGGTTATCTGGATGCAAGGCCAAAGCCAGGGACTGGCACTGATCAGGTGAAGCAGCCATGGCCAGGTGCAGTGTAAAGGTACTTGTCCCTAAAGGGCATATAGGAAGGAGGCGTAGGGTAAAGAGCCCTAGGAAGCAAGGAGGGCTTCTTCAGGCTGGCTTCTGTGGCTTCCAGACTCAAAGGCTTTCCCTCTGCTCAAGATGATGGAACTTCTGAAGCAGCCCAACCCACAGGGTCAGGGCAGCTGTGACAGACAGACAGTGCTAGCAGGGCCCCCATGCTCTCCCTGAACGCAGTGGAGAGTTTCCACCTGCTAACTTTCTTCCTTCAATCCCTCCCACAGCTGTTCTGGCCCATTACACAGCCATGCTATGGTCCAGGCCGCGCCATATGGGTAAACGGAGCACCAAGGCCACGGACACAGCCATGTTGGGTGAAGTACTGGAGGCTTGGTGCCTGCCTAAAAGACCCCCCAGGATGCAGGCGGAGGCAAGGACCAATTGCACCAGGCCCATGCAGCTCACTGCCTGGACCTCCTCAAACTAGAGTTTTTGGACTTCCGGTCGACTTCTGGATGCCCACACACGCTGATCTCCCTCTAACAAGAGTCAGCAGCAAGGGCCTGGGACTGGTGGGAAGGAGACAAAGTTCTGACCCGAGTGGCTTCCTTCCATTGTTGTGTGAGAGACTAACAACGGAGGAGGGACCGGCCTGCCCAGATAGATGAGGGCCTGAGGAGCAGAGGTGGAAATGGGTTTAGACAGAGAAGACTTCCCAGGGGCCAGATTCCTGGGAGTGAGAAGCAAGCGGCTTGGAGACTGGCTGACAGCCACAGGATCAGAGAGAGTCCCAGTGTGCTCCTATCCTAAGGGGGCTTAGACCCAGCAGGGGGAAATGCTCTGTGAGAGCCAGGACAACAGCTCCAAAAACATCTTCCCATTCAAAACCCAGATCTTCAGGGCAGGGCAAAGCTCCTGGCCCCGACCCTACTACCCCTCCTTGGGATGGGAAAAGATCTGTAGCACCCTGGCATAAACTGCCAATCGTAAATTGTTACTGTTTCAAACCCTTGAATGTGACCAGGTGTGGTAGCTCTCGGACATAATCCTAGCACTTGGAAGCTTGAGAGTTGAGGAGCCACTAGTTGAGATTCAGACTAGCATAGGGGCTACAGAAGAAGATTCTGCTCCAAAACAAACAAATAAAATCATTCAGCGTGAAGAAGGAAAAAAAATTAGTAGCAGGAGTGAAAGATTTCGGTCTAGTTTAGGCTCCACTAAAAACAGACCCAAGATAGATTTGAGATTAGTGCACGCCTTTAATCCCAGCACTCAGGAGGCAGAGGCAGGGGGATCTGAGTTCCAGGCCAGCCTGGTCCACAGAGGAAATTGCAGGACAGCCAGGGCTACACAGAGAAACCCTGTCTGGGATGGGGCAGATCTGAGTGTAACTCATTTGTTTAGGAGGCCATTCCAGGATTCAAGGTTATGGGGCAAAGCGTTTAGCTTTTGGACAACAGCAGCAGAGCCATCCCTGGGACAGCCACCCAGAAGACAGAGACCCAAGGCTGAGGGACATGCCCAGGACTAGAGAGACTAATTCTGTACTGCAAATGTATAAGGAGAACCAAGGCCAGTTTCTCACTATTAGAAATAGGCATTATTCTTAATAGGAAAAGGGGTGACTGGGAAGATGACTCAGTTATAAGGAGCTTGATATATAAACATAAGAACCTGGATTTAGGCTGGGTGGTGGTGGCACATGCCTTTGATTCCAGCACTCAGAAGGCAGAGGCCAGCCTGATCTACAGAGCCAGTTCCAGGACAGCCAAGGCTACATGGAGAAACTCTGCTTTGAAAAAAAAAACAAAAACAAAACAACAAAAAAGAGCTGGAATTCAGATCCTTACTACCCATCGTAAAAAAAAAAAAAACCAGCCATACTAGTACACACCTGTAATCCCAGCGCTGGAGAAGTAGACACAGGAGGAGCCCCAGGGCTTGCCGGAAGCTGGCAAGATGTTTTAGCAGGTAAAAACACTTGCCCCTAAGCTTGACGATCTTAGTTAGATTCTTAGAGTCCCACAAAGTAGGAGAGAGCTGACTCCACAAGTTGTCACTTAACCCGTCCCCTACTGTGGTAGCATGGATCTACTGGCGGTATGCACACTCACTAATAAACATTTTAAAGACAATTTTAAAGATGGTGAGTGATTGAGGAAGCCACCTAACATTGACCTCTGTCTTTAAACGCATGTGCACACATGTGTGCATACTGACAAATACATGCATTTCCACTCGTGTACATGTGTTCCCACACAAATGTGAGTGTGCACACACACACACACAAAACATGGGTAGGAAAGAAATATGTGACATGAAAGCAGAAGGTAGGGGAGAGTGGCAGAGGGCATTGGGAGGGGGAATGAAGAACATATGTATATGAAAGAAAATGCCCTGGTGAAGCTCATTACTTTGTATGCTACTAAAAATTAATAAAAAGTATATATATATGGACTGGAAAAATGGTTCAGTGTTTAAAAGCACCGGCTACTCTTCCAGAGGACCCGGTTCAATTCCCAGCACCCACATGGCAGCTCACAACTGCCAAGAGCTCTAGTTTCAGGGGATCTGACACCTTCACACAGACATACATACAGACATGAATGCACATGAAATAAATTATCAAAAAAAATATAGAGAGAAAGAAGGAAAGGAACTGTGTGGTGTTGGATTGGGATCAGTGATACTGTGTGACCTCCCATCTTATCTATAAACAGAAGGAGAGATAAACACAACGTTTGCACAAACATGACCATCAGTCACTCCTGGCTTTGTCCACCAGAGGAAGGACTCTGAACATCAGTGAGCAAATGCAAGGCACAAACCTTGGCCTTTGCATTCGGTTCTTCCGAAAAGACCCAGATCCTGGAGAGGAACACTGAGAAGCAGGTGTGTCTGGGACAAGTATGAGGGAAGACCTCCGAGAATGAAAGTCTTGAGCAGGGGACACTGAAAGGGTTTGCAAGGGCTGCCCCTGGCCAGATCAGACAGTGTTAACAGTAATAGAAGATAATAGGATGGATAGCAATCACTGACTAAGATAAGAAACCACAAGTCCATACACAATTTTAACATTTACCATAATGGTGAGTTAAAAGCTAAATGAGAACTATTTGCATATTTAAAAAGCATTTCCCCTAAAACTGCTCATTTGTTACAAAGGGAAAAAGAATAATTTCCCAGTAGAGACTCTGAAAGCTTCTTTCTTAACCAAAGCCACCAGAGCGGACCCTGGAAGCAACAGGATTGGTGGCATTCCAATATGAGTGTGAGCAGACCTGCAGCCATTCCTGTCACTTAGCTCCAAGGATCCACAACCTACACCTAACTGTGACAGGTCCTCGGTGATGAAACATCCAAGCACAGTTATGGGGACTTTCCCCAGAAGGCCTTGCCAGGAGCCTTTCTAGGTATCAAGGCCACTGCAGACAGGGAGAGGCCAGGCATGTTGAAGACCAGCCGAGACTAAGACTTCAGCCTAGTCCATGCTTCTGACCAGGCTGATCTATCTCATCCCAACAAGAGACATTACTGGGACAACCAAGAAGCCCTGGATTGGGTCTCAGACCCAACATGACCTGCTTTGGATAGCCCTGTTAGGGTGTTACAAAAAAGCTGCCCTTGGGTATGGCGAAATGCCATGCTAGTCGATGACTTCCAGGAACGATCAAGTCCTATGTTACTGTTGCAGCATTTTTTTGTAAGTCTGAGATTGTGTCAAAGTACAAGCTTTACTGTTAAAAATGTTGTATGAGGCAGGCTGAGTTCTCCATGTCTGCTGAATATGAACTGTAAAACAGGCTACAGAGGCTAGAGAAAGTCCTCTGGTGACCCTGTGGGAACAGACAGGACAGCAGAGCATATGCTACAGCTCCACCAAGATAGTACAAGGTTCCCTTCTCAGCCTAAGCACAAATACAAAAAAATAAATAAATATGACAGAAAAAAATGTGTAAGGAAGGTGGTGGTATGACACACCTTTAGTCCCAGCACTCGGGTGGCAGAGGCTGGTGGATCTCTGTGAGTCTGAGCCAGCCTGGTCTACAGAGTGAGTTCCGAGACAGCCAGTGCTACGTAGAGTAACCCTGTCTCGAAAAACAAAACATACGTGTGTGAGTATGTGTGTCCATATTATATGTGTATATATGTATATGCTAGACATAAGCATGGGGCTCACTCGAGCCAGTTGTAAGGCTGAAGGCCAAACAATTAACATGAGTCCCATCGTTTGAGGAATAGGGATTAAGACCAGTGTAGGACAGAATTGAGGTTAAGTGTCTGTTCTGAAATAATAACTGGGACTGGGTTTTTGTCAAGAAAAGAGCTAAGTAGGAATGAATAGTCTTGAGGACAAGCAACTCAGACTGATATAGAGGATAGGAGGATCGAAGAAAATATTGACCAAAACAGGATGCATATAATTGGCTCAAACTAGGTAGAGAGCTTGTTGGAAGCTATAAGAGGGATTACCTTGGATTCAGAGAAAACTCGGGGATTTAAAAAAAAAGAAGAAGAAAGCAAAGCAAATACTAACTTCAGGAAAAACAAAGAGAAAAATTCAAACAGAGTTTACTATTTGGCTCAGCAGTGAATAATATTTACATAGTTATAACGATACAAATGACTTAACAAGAAATTACGAAATTGCTCATTTGGGAAGAGGAAAGAGGTGGGCAGAGGGCACTGGGTAAAAGCCTCATTCTCAGCGGGATATGGTGGCGAACTCCTTTAATCCCAGCACTCAGGAAGCAGAGGCAGGTGGATCTCTGAGTTCAGGGCCAGCCTGGTCTATAGAGTGAGTTTCAGGACAGTCAGGGCTACACAAAGAAACCCTGCCTTGGAAAAGGAAAAAAAACTCATCCTCAGTTACATCTTACTATGTCTAGCTGCTAGACTCAAGACAGAAAGAGATCATTCACAAGTTCAGAGAACAGTAAAACAAAAAATTTGAAAAGATTCAAGGAGGTTACTTCAGAAAACTGTTTGGAAGGAAGGCCTGAGAGAGGCATAACATACACCTTGACACTATTCTAACTTTGGGGCTTTTTAAATTTTTATAATAATTTATATTATTATTATTATTATTTGGGTTTTTGGGTCCTGTCCTGGAATTTGCTCTGTAGACCAGGCTGGAGATCCGCCTGCCTCTGCCTCCCGAGTGCTGGGATTAAAGACATGTGCTACCACTGCCCAGCTTGTTCCTTCTATGTATCTGTATCTCACTGGTAAAAACTAAATAAACAGGGTATAGAGACATAATTCAATGACTGAGTGCTTGCCTGCCTTGTATTAAGTCCTGGGTTCAAACCCAGCACCACCAAGAAATATAAATGAAATTTAGGCTGAGTAGTTGTAAATTCCTTTAATCCCAGTACTCAGGAGGCAAAGACAAGCAAGTGCCTTAGGTTCCAGAACAGTCTGGTCTACATAATGAGGCCCTCTCTTTAGATGGATGAATGAATGAATGAATGAATACATACATACATACATACATACATACATACATACATACATCCCGAGTGACACACACCTTTAATCCCAGCACTTGAAAGGAAGATTTCTGAGTCTGAGGCCAGCCTGGTCTACAGAGCTAGTTCCAGGACAGCCAGGGTTGTTACACAGAGAAAGCCTGTCAACAACAACAACAAAATAGTGCTGGCAGGCTGGAGAGTGGCTCAGAGGTTAGGAGCACTGGATGCTCTTCTGGAGGTCCTGAGTTCAAATCCCAACAACCACGTGTCAGCTCACAACCATCTGTAATGAGATCTGGTGCCTTCTTCTGGCCTGCAGGCAGAACACAGTATGCATAATAAATAAATAAATCTTTTTAAAAAATGGTGCTGCCATAGTGCCTTGCCTTTGTAACCCAAGTATTTGAAGGTAGAGGCAGAGGATCAGAAGTTTGAGGCCGCCCTGAGCTACATGAGATTCTGTATCAAAAAGCTAAAATTAAAGATAAAAACATTAAAAAGGGCCTAAGAGATGGCTCAGTGATTAAGAGCACTGACTGCTCTTCCAGAGGTCGGGAGTTCAATTCCCAGCAACCACATGGTGGCTCAAAACCATCTATAGTGGGGTCTGATGTCCTCTTCTGGCACAAAGGCATACATTCAGATAGAGCACTCATGTGCATAAAATAAAGTAAAATAAAATGAAAACTTAAAAAAACATTAAAAAGAAATAAAAATAATTAAATAAAGATAAACCCCAACACTAAGCTAAAAATAAGACGGTGAGATGGCTCAAAGGGCAATGGTATTTGATGCCAAGGCTGATGACCTGAGTTTAAAACCCGAGAGTCACATGGTGGAAAGAGCATCAATTCCCGAAAGCTGTTCCCTGACCTCCATGTGCAGCTGCTGCACATATGCACACACACACACACACACACACACACACACACACACACACACACACACTAAACAAATTAAATTTAAAAAATTAAAACAAAAAAATAAGCAAACAGGAAAATGAGCTCACATTCCCAACATAAAAGCACAATAGTCTGGGGCAAGACAAGACATACTTTGAGTAAGTCATTTTATTTATTTACTTTTGTTTTTTTGAGGCAGGATTTCTCTCTGTGTAGCCCTGGCTGTCCTGGAACTCACTCTGTAGATCAGGCTGGCCTCAAACTCAGAGACCCACCTGCCTCTGCCTCCTGAGTGCTGGGATTAAAGGCGTGCACCACCACTGCCCAGCTGAATGAGTCATTTTTTTAAGGAAAGAATAAAGCTAGGGGCTGGGTTGTGTAAGGGTTGTAATGCCAGCTACGTGGGAGGTAGAGATAGGAGAACTGAAAGTTTAGGAACTCCATGGAGCTACAGAGCGAGTGAGCTCAAGGACAGTATAGGCGGTGCACAGATTTGATTAAAAATAAAAGGTGAGGGCTGGAGAGATGGCTCAGTGGTTAAGAGCACTGACTGTTCTTCCAGAGGTCCTGAGTTCAATTCCTGGCAACCACATGGTGGCTCACAACCACCTTGAATGAGACCTGTACCCTCTGCTTGCCTGTAGGCAGAAGGCTGTATACACAATAAATAAAATATTAAAAAAATAAAATAAAAGGTGAAAACAGGGTTTGGGGTACAGCTCAGTGGTAGAGTGCACCCCAGTGTATATAAAGT